AGCTCCACAGCCCTTGCTCTCCATTTCCATCTTTCAGCATGCTCTTTCCCCTAACATTTGATCCAAGTTGAATTCCCTGAAAAGCAGGGAGACGAGCATGCAGGAGGTTCATTAGGGAGTGCTCCAAGTTCAACAAGAGTGGAAGGGAACGGAAGGAAGCAGCACGGGGCAGGAGGAGAAGTCAAGCTCCCTGGAGTCTCAGCAGCACCTCAAGCAACCATTCAGGGAGTTTGGAAGATGGAATGGCCCTTCAAAACTATCCAAAGTTGGGGTGCAAGGACCAGGCTTATCCCCATGTCTCTCATTTATTGCAAGCACGAGGCATGAACTTGGGTGAGGTGCCTATCTTCAACTGAGGCAATTCCCAAAGGAGACTGACAGCTGAAGGCTATCTACGAAGCCTTTGAAATAATAATGTATCATTTTAGGCTAAAAATGCTCTGCTTACTGATGGCTGTGGTGTCCAGAATAAAGGCAGAGAATAAATTCCAAAGACTGACTCAACCATGCTGCCAAGTCCTTCCTCAGCAAAGGACTCTAGACCAACTCCCTTACTCTATAAATAGGGAAACTGAGGCCAAAGAGAGTCTCAGATCATCAGCTACCACATTACAGTCTTATAATAAATAGCTACTGTTTGAATGTTTATACTAGGTGTGCCAGATGCTTTTCATGCTTTACCTAATTAGCTAATCATGAAAATTCTGTGACGGAGCTGCTCTTATTATCTTCATTTGACATATATGGAAGCAGGTGTGTACAGCAACCCACTGAGTAATTTGTCCAAATTATGCAGCTATTAAGTGGTGACTCTAGGATTTGACAAAGTCACTCTGACTATAGAGCCTGTGATAAGTAGCCACTGAGATGAATCGCTTTTTCTTAGTGCAGCAAACCGTTGTCCTGGGCCTTGTGAGACTCAGGAATGTGGGTGTGCTCTTGTTATTTCTAAGAATGGATACATTGCCACATAAAGTTCGCATGTATTTTCTATTTTTCAGGATAAGAGGATAAGTAAGTGTGCTTCCAGACAGAAAACAAGTTTCCTATCAACTATAAATCAGAGAATGTGGAAGTAATCTTCAGCATCCATGAACATTCCATGCCAGTTTCTCTGGAATGGTGGCCATGCTTCCTTCCATGGCTCTGATGTCTCTCCAACAGAAACTTTCAGTTCTAACAGAGAAAGGTGAGGGCTTTCAGCAAATCTAGAGGTTTCTTCTCCTGCCCTTCCCAAACTCCCAGGTCTGAAGGGGAGCAGCCTGCCCAGCAAAGTGGTCCCAGTTGGATTTATAAAAGATCTTCCCTGATACCTGAGAAACCACCAAAATCTATCCATCTTTCCTCTCCTGCTTCATCAAAATGAAACCTATTCAAGTAAAAAGACCCCAAAATGTAAAGATTTCCCATTGTAGAAATGGTGTTGAATTACAACAGTATGATGTGAAACTCTAAACTGTGTCAGAAAATGTGGATTAATTTGTTAAACAAACATTCATTGTGTTCCCACCAAACAGCAGGCCCTGGGCCAGAAGCTTGAGGTTGCAGTGTTTGGAGAGTTTGCCATTTAGTAGAGTAGTTCTCAAATGTTAGTGTGCATAAGAATCACTTGGGAAACTTGTTAATAACGCACATTCCTGAGCACCACCCTCAGAGTTTCTGATTCCTCAGATGGGGCTGAGGTTTAACAATCTGCATTTCAGTCAGTCCCCAGTGATTCTGAAGCAAGTGGTCTTCGGTTGTATTTTGAGAAGCCCAGACTTGGAATTTAAGTTTTGATACGGTGCTTAACTTAAGTCACTTGAACTCAGGACTGCAGGGGGTTTGGAAGAAATACTTGATTTCTGATTCCTTCAAGAAGCCTTAAAAAGATTTCCTGGAAAGGTTATCTGTGCAACTACAGCACACCAGTATGACACCACTGCTTTTCAAACAGGAGAAAAACATCGTGTCATCATGTGGCCTAAGGAGAGAAGAGTTTCACTGGGACAATTCAAGAAGTGTGTGTGTGTGCAAAAATTCATCAACTGTATATGTAAGCTTGGTGTACTTTACCATATAGACGTTTACTTTCTAGATAGAAAATAAGTTTCAGATCAACTGTAAATCAGAGAATATGGAAGTAACTTCCAGCTTCCATGGCCATTCTATGCCAGTTTCTCTGGAATGATGGTCGTGCTCCTTCCATGGCTCTGATGTTTTTCCAACAGAAGCCTTCCATTCTGTTGGAACTGAAATGAATGTTATACCTCGAGTTTTTTTAATTAAGGGAGTGTAAGGTAAAGAGGGTGAGAGGTTTAAAGATGTCCTAAGGAGGAAGAAGGAGTTGGGAACCAGAAGGAAAGAAAACAGCAAGAAGGGAGAAATTCGGACTTCTTCATGAAGTCACCAAGTAAACCCTCAGCAGCTGGAGGAGAAAGAGGGCTGGAAATTGAAGTTGGCAGATGTGGATGCAAAGAGGCTTAAGAGTGCAGGCACCATGAGCCAGACAATTTGTGGTAGGAAAGAAGGAAGGAAGGGAGGGCAGAGGAGAAAGAAGCAGAAAGAAGAGGGCCCTGGCCCTGAGGGGAGCTTATAGTCCTGTGGCTCTGACTAGCTATGTGGCCTTCAGCAAGTCATTGATGGCACCAAGCTTGTAGGTGGCCATCTAAAATGAGCTGGACCTCTGAAGTGAGGCGTGTAATAGGAATGGTGTGTGAAAGACTACTTATAAACTATAAAGGGCTGTGAAATGCTATGTATTATGAATTATGAATACACTCTGGCTCAGGGCCAGGTGAAATGCAAGTGTTGGTATGAGTGTGTGTCCCAGTTCAGCTGCCCAAGTGACTTCCCACATCTTCCTGACACTTGACCACCAAACTCCTAGGACTTTGGTGAGAGGTTTTCTTTCTTTTTTCTTTGTCTTCTCTGAGCTAACTTGGATGTTGCTTTGTGCAGTCCTGAGCATGAGATTCCTTTCAGTTCTCCCCCGCCCAACACCCCACCCCAGCTGTTTTCCTTGACCTCAGGAGCTCCTTCCACCTTCTCCCAGGCAAGGCCAGCTTTCATCACAGAGGGCACCTGCCTCCTCCTTGGCCCACCAGTGACCAGTTAGAGGCCAGAGGCCTCATCAGAGGCCTCCAGGGACCAAGGCAGCTTGCTCCAGGCCCTTGGAGAAGGACAGGAAACTAGACAGGCAGTAAAATTAAATGGATTGTCTATAAATGTTTTTTAAATTAAGATTGTGATCTTTGTTCTATGCAGAAGAGTCTCTTTAAGAACAATTGCTTTGCCTGAGTGGCAGCCAAAGAGCTCAGCAGCTCTTTACCCAAAGCCAGTGAGGAAAGGGAGGGAAGAGCAGAGAGGAGACTAGGGTAACTGGCTCTTTCCCCTTTTGGGGATAGTAAATCAAAAAGGAAAAAAGGGGATGCTGTTAAGAGATCTGCCTGGTGACTCCCCAGGCTGAGGCTTCTGGGGGAGGGAGGCTGAGCTTGTTGGGCACCTTGGAGCTGGAATTTTGTGTTTTGTTCCATAAAATTATGCCACTTTCTCACTCCCTTCTCCCCCTTGCTGCCCCAGCCAGCAGCTGTGAAACCACAGCCAGAGCCACCTACGTGGACCTTGGGGCCACCAAGACTGAGGAATCCAAAATACACAGAGGGAGGGAGGGAGAGAGAGAGTGAGAGAGAGAGAGAGAGAGAGAGAGAGAGAGAGAGAGAGAGAGAGAGAGAGAGAGAGAGAGAGACTATGGAAGTCTCTAGATAGACAGAAAGGAAGGAGGAGGGAGAGGGTACGGGTAGGGGGAATGAGAGAAGCAGAGACAGAGACAGTCTGGGAAAAAGCGATGAAAGTGGGGAGAGACAAGGGGCCAAGCTGGAGAGCTGCAGGGCAGAGACCTTCAGAGGGTCTTCGAGAGGGAAATGAAGAAGAAAGGGGAAGAGGAGGGTAAGCAGCTTCCAGCAAAAGAAAGAAGGGAACAAGGACAGGGAAGGGAAGAGCCCGGAGGTGGCGAAGCTAAGGGATGTGTAGTGACTTTGAGAAACAAAAGTGGACCGTCTGGGGGCTGTAGTTGTCCCCAGCAAACCGCCAAGCTCTTGGCAAAGGTCCTAAACCCTGGAGCGCAGAAACTCCGCTGTCCAGTCCTGCCGCCGCCGCCTCATTTCAGAAGCCTCAAACTTGTGATTCAGGCACAACACACTCAGACAGGATCAAGGGGCCGGGCTGTGTGGCCCCAAGGGAACTGTGGGTCCCTGCATCCTCCAGGTGTGTGCGCACTACGAAAAGGAGCGGCTGGGCCACTGGGCCTGGGGTGCAGCTGTGCCCGGACCGCACGCCTCCAGAGGGTATGTTCTGGAGCATACTCGCCAGCCCTCCTAGCTCCCCCAGTTTCTGTTTGCATCGAATACATCCATCACCACCGCAGAGGTACTGGGGGGCTGTGCAGGGAAGTTCTGCAGGAATTAGTATCTATGTCATTCTCTTGTTCCTCAAAGTTTCTCTCTGTCGGCGGAGAAACTTGCTCTAAATCGAAAGGAAGGGAAATCTTGCGCTGTGATTGCCCAAATCCAAACGACCGCTGGCATTGAGAAGCACCTGGAAAAGTCTAGAAACTAGGAGCGTTAGGAGGCAGGAACTTTAGAGTGCAGAGACGAGTTCCTAAATAAACCAAGAAACACGAAGTGGGAGATCTAGGGGAAGGAACCTGAAGGTCTGACACCAACGAGACAGAGTCGGCGAGTGAGGTAACTCAGTGAAGAGGAACCTACATTGGAGCCAGGCCTCTCTGTCTCTCGAGAAATTCTCCCCAAACCTCACCCCAGGCGCTCAGGATACCAGCTGCAAGGCCCGGCATTGCCGGGGCTGCTACCCTCTGCCCCAGGCGTCCCTGCGCCGACATTCATCATTTGCTTGGTTCTTTCTTCTTTTTCTTCTTTTGTTTTTGTTTTTTTATCCTTCAAATATAAGACAAAAATACACCCATTTATCATCATAGATATATATATTTCACTCTCACCACATAAATACAAAACATCCAAATATCCAAAACATTCAGAACAAAGTTAGTAGCCAGGATTCAGTGACACCTACCCCGTTTGAATCGTTCATTATTTCTTCACTATTTCCTTAAAAAAAAAAAAAAGGAAAAGGAAAGGAGCTTTTGACGTAAATAATTTACAATAAAATTACTATTTAAAAAATGCTCTGCGCTCGCTTCAGGTGGAAGAATACATTCTAGACACTGCGGCACCTCGCCGTCTGGGTCTGTGGTTTTGGTTAAATTGCGGGTGGCGGTGGCTGCGGGGACGACGGTGGTCGCTGAGCCGGTGAGGGCTGAGGCCCTGACTGCGTGGCGGTGCGGGGTTACCGACTTGGGCCCATGGAAAAGAAACCCTGGGGTTTGCTTTGGAAGAGGGTTGCAGAGGTGCGCCTTTCCTATCCACGCAGGCCGCTCATCTGGACACCGAGACGGCCGGCAGAGGAGGCTGGGCCGCCTTGCTGTCCCCAGCTGCGTCCCTGCCTCCCAGTCCGCCAAGAATTGCCCTGAAATCCGGGCGTTTCCTCCCTGCTGGAACGGTTTCTGTGAATCCGGGAGTCGGGGAAAGGATCAAATGGTCACGATTCATTTCCAAACCCAACACTGTGCCCAGAGCCACGCGTCTGGGAGACGCGCCGGCGACCGCAACACCGCCGGGAGGACCCTGTGGGCTCTTTCTCCTGGAGGAGCGTGGGGCTGCCGGCCACCGCCCGGAACAGCCTCGGAGAAAAGGTTTTGAATTTTCTTTCATTAGCGGCGCTGGGTTTTCTTTTGTTTTTCCCTTTTGAATTCTTGTTTAAAGTCGTAACACCCAGAACTTTAATTTTGCATTGCCCTGCGGCTCATTCTTTATCCTGAATTTTCTCAAACCTTCCAAACTCCATTGTTTTGAATATTTAAAAACTGGTTCCACTTCATCTTGTTTTACGTGGTAGCTGTTACTCTGGTTTATTGCTCGTTAGATCAACTTTATTACCACTGTTGCCCACCCTGATGTTTGGTTCATTGTCTGCTGAGCTCGGGATGGTTCTGATTGGAGTTGCTGTAAAGAAGAGACAACCCCGCAGGATTTGTCCAGCCAGCAAGCTGCGCGTGCACCGGCTCTCCCGAGAGGCCCGCAAAGTGGGGCCCAGGGGCTTCCAAAAGCCCTGGTTTTTCTGGCGAGAGGAAGGAACGTCCTTCTTTTTGGGCTAATGAAACCTGCCAGCCTTTTCAGCCCCTGGGGTCTGCGTGAAGCTTTCCTCTTTCAAATATTCATAGTAATCAGTGGCAGCAGCAGCCGATCTAGAGCAGTTGTCCTGTGCTTTGGATTTATAACCAGTCTTTTCCCTCCAGGGCCAGTTATTGGTTGGGACATCAGGTTGGTTAACTCGGGCATTTCCCCCAATTCTTTGGATTCTCCTGCTTTCAGAAGGAAGTTGGGGCAGAGGGTTGACACGGAGGAAGGGCAGGGAAAAAAATAGCCCAAATGAAATATATTGGTAGCAGAGTCTCGTAGGGAAGGAGAACTGTCGGAGACCTCGAGGGAGGCTGGGCGTCGGGACTCCAGCGCAGGAGACTCGGGGCCTAAAGCGCATGAGTCCATAAATATCATCACCACAATAGATACTATAAATATAAATACAGGGAAATACTTAAAATCAGTCCAGCGCTTTTTTCTCGGCCCCTTCTTTATTGTTGGTCCGGGTGTAAGGCTCGAAGGCCGAGGAGCTCAGGTATCGCGCGGAGAGTTCTTGCAAATTCCCGGCCAACGAACCGGCCATTGTCAAAGGGGCGGAGGATAGGCGACTTGCGACCGAGCCAAGCAGTGAGGGCACCGGCAGGCTGAAGAGGCCGTGGCCGGCCGCCGGCGCGCCTGCGTGCAGTCCCCCTGGCCCAGCCGGCCCGGCACCCGGGGCGCCACCCACGGGCGGCGGGTGCGGGGACGCGGCGCCGGCGGGACCTGGGGCGGCGGCAGCCGCTGCTGCCGCTGACCCTGCGGCGGCGCCCGCGCCCAGGGCCGGCAAGCTGGGCCCGCGCAGCGCTGAGCCGAGAGCGCTGGTGGCACAAGGCGGCAGCAGCGCGGGCAGGCCAGGCGGCGACAGTAGGCGGCCCTGCTCCAGCAGCCGCAGCACGCTGCACGTGGCCGCGGTCTCCGAAACCACGGAGCGCAGCTCCGAGTCCTTGCCCTGGTCCTTCTTCTGCTTTGTGCGCCGATTCTGGAACCAGACCTTCACCTGCGCGCCCGTGCGCGGGGGAGGATGGGAGAGACAGGGGAACACGGGCGTCAAAGGGTGCGGGCTCCGGGACCCTTCCCCAACCCCAGCCCTAGCCCCAGGGCAGTCCCACCCCGCAGAGGGAGAGATCCTCGCCTAGGAGTTGCCGAGCGAATCAGGACCACCGTAAGGGGGACACAACTACGCTAGGCTACGAGTCCCCATCCTGGAAGCAGGTCCAAGCTGCCGAGGTTATAAATAACAAAGTACTAAAAATTATCACGACCCTAACTCAAGGAAGACCAAAAGGGGTTACACTACGGGCCGCACTACCCGCAGCCCGACAATGGATCAGCGAGGCTCGAAAGCCCACATTTGCAGAAGAGACTGTGAAGCCTGGAGGATGCTATGTGGGGGGTGGGGAGTGGGAATGGGAAATAGGGGTGAGTGGGAGGAGTGTTGCTCTGCCTTTCTGGACCCAGGTCCCTGGCCCAACGGGCTTGATTTTAGCTCCTGCAGCACTAGCCCTGCTGAAGGCTTCAAGAGGCTGCTTCTTTCTTGTTAGAGTTAGACTTGACCATCAACTAGCAGCAAGCAGGGATAGTGGGTGTGGAAGGAATAATTTGTGCAGGATGGACTTTACAGACCAAACTTTCCCCACCTCCTCTCACTGCCAGCCAGATTGGAGGGTCTGAGTGATACTCTTAATTTATCACTCTGCTGCTTTCTATCATGAACTGTAAAATCATGGGAGGAAGTCAGGAGACTGGGGTGGACTAAATTCTCTCCACCAACTTCCTCTTCTCCCTCTGCTCCTCTCCAGACCTAATGGGTGGCTCAGAATGGAATTTAGTAGCTATAAAGAAAGGTTATGCTGTCTAGACTTTGTAAACTAAGATGAGTAGTAACAGAGAGAATGGGGAAAAGCTACTATGCCAATTCAAACTCAAAAAGAACATCCAGTATGTTCTGTCCTCAGTTCTCAGCTTTCTACCCAGATACCACACCTAAAATGCTCCCCACCTGTTTCATGGTTGGCACAGGGAAAGGGACAGACCCTCAGAAAGTCTGCCTCACATGGGCCAAGTTAGTGCCATGCCCTGGCCAGGCCCAGGGCCTCCCCAAGGCAAAGCTCTCAGACCCTAAATGCCTCTGGGCCCAGAGCCCACATGGCCAGCTCCAGTAACATCTTATGGATTTCATGTAAGGGAAAAGACCTTAAGTACAGTTGGCAGCGCAAGCTCCCAGGGCCTCACATCTGCTTCCCATCCATACCTGACATCATTGGCACAGAAGACAGGGCCTTCTAGGAACCCAGAGTGGGTGTTTAGGTCTGGGACCCACTCAGGGCATGGGAAGCCTTAAGGGGTAGGGCAGGCTGGTACACACAGACAGATCTTGAGAATGTGCACCTTTCTAACCCCTAATTGTCACCCACAGCACTGAAGCAGGGGGCTTTGGCCCGTAGCCCTGGTCTTGCAGAATGGCCCTGGACGTTGTATAAGGCTGGAATCCCTAGAAGGGGTGTGCCCAGAAACCTGGCCAAAATGGGGTGGCCAAAACAGGGGTAAACATCAGTTCCTTGTAAAATAGAGGCAAACATGGAATTCTCAATACTGGGGTCCAAAAATAATCCCAAAAGGACAGGGTTTGGGGCCTTCTGGGCTAGGCCAAGGTGGGCAGAGCATGGACCCTGGAAGATTAGGAGATGTAGGGGGATAGAGATGAGTTATGGAAGGAGAGAGAGCCTTAGGCCTCTCTTCCCCACCCTCCCTATCTTTTCCACATCCTCTGGGAGAGGCTTTCCAGAGCCAAGCTAGTTGATGAGAAAGAGCTGTCTGGGGTGGTGGGAAGAGATGCTGGTGCAGAGTGTGTGCAGCCTGGCCGCCTGGTACCTGGGTCTCGGAGAGGTTGAGCTGTCGGGCGAGCTCGGTCCTCTCGCGGCCCACCACGTATTGGCAGCGCTGGAACTCCATCTCCAACCGGTAGAGCTGCTCCGCAGTGAAGGACGTGCGTGTCCTCTTGGGCCGATCCAGGTCCAGGCCCTTGGGCAGGATGATCTCTCGGATGGACCCCTTGGCATCTGGGGAATGGGAGATGTCAGCCTCCAGAACCCTTCCGTCGCCCTCCACCCCCTGGTTGAAGCTGGCTTTGGGGACACAGTCGCCACCAGCCTGCAGTCCGGAGGTGTCAGGGTGGGGGTGAGGGTGCATCTGGGAAGCGAAGACTGAGAAGCGAGTGGGCTAACTCCACACTGCTGACGGGAAGGGGAACCAGATTTTGCCTTTGCAGAGCTCTCTGAACAGGGGAGGGGGGGGGGGAAATCAATTCCAAATCTGCTGATGTTCCTTCTGGCCTGGAAGCTGCCCGGTGCGGGTCCTCTGTAGCTTGAGAATCTCAGAATGGACCAGTCCGGGGCCTGCGGGCCCGACCTTTGGTGCGTGAGGACCAGACCACGCTCCAGCGATCCCCACTCCCACCCCGGGGTCCCTGTAGAGCCCCGGCAGCGAAAATAGAGGAGACCGAGTCGGGCCTCCAGACCCCGGCGATCTAATAGCGGGGGCAGTGCCCGGCCGCGGCCCGGCCTCGCCCTTGCTGCAGCCAGAGCCAAGCGCACACAGAGGAACAGAGCGGGGCCGAGCACCAAGGCGGCATCCACGGCCCCGCAACTCAGTATGGCTTCTCCCGGCGGCAGCGGCCAGCCGCGAGCGCGCGCCCGGTCCCTGGGCCCAGCGCGCCAACTGGCCAGGCCGACAGCTCACGATCGGCTGCTGCTCCCCGGCACCCGCGCTCGCCTTGGGTGCGCTCGACCCACAGGGCCCGGGACCCCGCACAGGCAGCCTCCCGGCAGGTCCTCCGGCCCGCAGGGCGCGCGCACATCCTCCGGAGTTCCCTGCTCTTCCCCCGTGTCGGAGGCCGCAGCCTTGAGCCTGGGCCCTCCCGACCAGCCCCGCGGCTCCCCCAGCCGCCCAGCCGGCGGTGCCCCTCGGGGTTTGGAGGGCCGGGACGCCTGGAGAGTGCGCGCCCCGAGTGCGAGTCCCCAGAGGCCGGCCAATCGCGGCAGACAGGGCGGTGGGGTGGGGGCGATAGCAACTTTCTCCTAAGTCCCAGCCTGCACCCCCTCCCCGCCAGCCCGGGTCAAGGCAGCGCGCGGGTCGGGCCCCAGAGTCAGCCCCAAACAACGCGCCCCGCAGCCCTGCCCCGTCCCTACCTCGGACCAGGATCCGGCGGCAGTAATCCGGGTCGGCGGCGGAATTTGCTTTACTTTTGTTGCAGTCTTCCACTGGGCCTGACGCCGAAAAGGCGCCCTGCGGCTCCTTGAGGAAGGCAGCGGGGAGGCTCCCCTCCGCGCCCTTGCTGTCCCGGCTCTCCCTGTGGGCGTTCTTCGACACCCGGGCAGCCTCTGCGTCCGAGTGGCACCGAACGTCCATTTTGTCTGGTTTCCCGAACATAGGAGAGGCAAGAGCAACAACAACAAAAAAAAAAAAAAAGAAAGAAAAGAAAGAAAGAAAAAAGAGAGGGGGAAAAAAGAGGGGGAAAAGAGGCAGAGGGGGGACAAACCCCCTACAATGCAGCCCCTGCCGCCCAGCCCGAAGAGAGGCAGGCGGCAAGAATGAATGTCCCCGCGGGGAGGCTGCGGCGGCCGCGGGCGGGTCAGAGGCGACCGGCGAGTGGCGCGCTCGCGGAGAGGCAGAGGGTCTGGTCCAGGATCCCGGTGGAGGAGCGGCGAGGCCACCTCGTCAGCACCCGCGTCCTCTGAGCACGTCCAGTGTCCCCAGCCAGGCGATCAGGTAGCGAGCAGCGCAACTCCAAAATGCTGCGGCTCCCGCCTGTTACTGAGACGCCAGTTGTAGTTGTCCGACACCCGGGGGGACGCACACTCGCTGTTGCAATTGATTACGGGTAATTTCGCAGCCCCCACGTTTCGGTTACCTCATGAATACACTAAATTGTTTGGATAATATATCAGATCGTAATGGATGGTTTCTGTCCTTGTCCCCAATCAAGTAGGGGTTTAGCCAGTGAATAAACGGAAATGATTGGTCTTGCTTTCAGGAAACACACAATCAAAGACCACACTTCCATAAAAACTTTTGACAAGATTCATCCTGAATTGTTAGTACCATTAGCAGGCATTAGTAACTTTCCCTTTGCCTTGACCCTCCTGCTCACATACTGGCTGGAGGGGTTTTCTCCACACTCGACAGACAGAGCTGAATGGGGGTGGAGGGGGAATGAGGGTAGAGGGGGGACACACACACACACACAAAAAAAACACCCTGCAGCGGAAGAAAGCAGTAGCCTCTAGGGGGAAAAAAAGAAGGGAGGGAAGAGAAAAGTTTTCCCAAAAAGTATCTCCCCCACACTCTAAAAAGCCAAGCCTTCTTCCCAAACAAGTCCTTCTGAACACACCTCGACGCTGACAGCCATCTTAAACTGCCACCTCTCTTCATTTAGTTCCAGTTGGATTTTTTCATGCCTGCACCTCCAGCAGCCCTGAGGCAGCCCATTCAAAGGGCAGCTTTGTACTCAGAGTCCAGAAGGAGAGAGAGGGGGGAGAGGGAGAGCCGAGAAAATCTCAACTGTGAGATCTGCTTCAAAAAAAAAAAAAGTTTTCCCCTAGCTATTTCATTGTCTCTGCTACAATATCTTTGAGAAAAGCAACAGCCAGTAATCCAATAAGAGCATTGATTAGGCTACAATGATTCAATTCAAGCGCATGGCCTTGTGCAAGGAGCATGCTCCAGCCCTTCTCGTCACCTTGCCGGGGCAGAAGCCCTCTCCACGCCGCTCTCCCCATTCATTCCTTTATGGGAAATGCGGAGCAAAAGGAGTGAAAGATGGCAATTATCTAATTGGACTATTAACAAACAGTCCTCTGAGTGCGGCGGTCTGGCGTGGCTCCTGGGCGGGGGAAGGGCCGTGTTCCCTGCCCTCATTCACAAAGAGTGCAGGGGCTGGGGAGGAAAGGGTTTTTTTTTTTAAAGGGAGTTGGGGGAGATGAGAGAGGTGGGAGGTTTGGCTGAGAATTTTTCCACACAATTCCAAGAATGGGGGCGGAGGCGGGAGGGGAAGAGGAGGGGCTGCGGCGGGGGTCGCGGCGAACGGGTAGGACGGAGAGAGGGAGAGAGGCAGCGGAGGGGTGGGGGCGAGTGTGTGCGGTGGGCTCCGAGGGGCCCCCGCTTGCGGCGCAGAGCGCTCCGCCCGCCCCAAGCCCCTCCGCCGCCGCCCCAGCCCTGGCCGCCTCGCGCGACCCCGTCGAACCTGCCGGGACCGGAGGGCCCCCACCCCCACCCCGGAGACCCCCAGAAGAACCCCCTCTCAGTGCGGTTCCGGAGGGCGACTCTGGCCCTGGAGGCAGATTTTGGGGTTTTACTTAATTTCCGTGTGTGTGTGTGTGTGTGTGTGTGATTGTCCTGACTGCTGTCTGCAGGGCGGTGAGTTTCCCGTGTCCCTGGCAAACGGGTGGCTTTCCTCGTTCTGGCCCACGGGTGGAGGGCACATTTGATTGCCCTTCTCCCGGATGGCGCGGTGGGGGCGGGTGCAGTGGAGAGGGAGAAGGGTCCTCGAGGCCACTCTGTTCTGGGGATGTAGAGTGGGATTTAAACAAAATCCAGCCGACTCTCTCGCCAGTTGCTTCCTGCAGCTCTCAAACGCCCAGGCTGGCGCCTGAGGACCCGCCGCCCGGTCTTGGCTCCCATTCCGCTGCAGCCGGTGCGGATCCCTGAGCCAGGCAGCGTGTGGGGCCCTAGGTTCCCCGTAGTGCTTGGCCCTGGGGCCGCCGCGGGTCCCAAATCCCGGTCCACCGGCTCTTTCCTGCCACCTGACAGTGTGAGGGTCATACTCTTGGACAGCTGGCCCTAGTTGGGCCCTTGCCCCAACCGTTCTGCGTACCCAGCTCAGGAGGATTTGGAGTCCCTTCACCCCCTCAGGAGACCTGCGGGTCTCAGAGATTCCCAGACCTCAGCCCTGGCCAGAATGGGGCCACCTCGGAGTGGCTCTTGGTCCCTGGCCTCACCCACATCCTCAAAGCTCCTGCTGACACCTGTGGCACTGGGTCAAAGACCCAGAGGAAAGTTTCTAAAAACTGCTCAACCCATGACCTCTTTTTTTTAAGTGAGAAGGGGAACTGGCCAGGGAGGAAATTGCTGCCCTTAGAAAGGACTCACATGTAGGCAGTAGAGGCCCCAGGTTGTCAGGGGCCTGAAAATCCCTGGCACCACAGGATATGCCCAGCTGTGGACAAATCCCTAAGACCGATTTGAATTTGGGCCTCAGAGATGCTTGCCTCTCCCCTATCTTGTAGAGGAATAACTGATACATTTTGTTGTAAGTGAGCAGTCACTTACTGGGCACATACTCATTTAATTTTCTTCCCAGGTTTGTTGATGAAAAAACAGGGGCTCAGGGAGGTTCAATAACTTGCCCAAGTCAGAGTCAGCAACTGCAGAATATGAACTCAGTTCTGCCTGATTTCAAATCCTAGTCATCCTCTTCTTTAGCAGCCCTATAGGACTCTGCCCCTTTTTGGTTCAAAACCTATCCCTGCTTCAACTTTTTAGAATCTCCAGGTCATCAGGATGTGTGTCAGAGATACAAAGTAATGACCTCGACGATAATGCCAGGAATCCTGATTATTAGGCATCAGTTTTCATGACTTTTATCCAAACAACACTAAATACAAATGGAAATATGAAATTCTTGTTTCTGATCATGCTATTTATTTCTAGCCATGAGCATTTCCTAGGAGTCCATCACCCTCTGGTATTAAGCTGTCCTGGGCTAAGTAAAATGCAGTTTTCTGGATCCAAACCTACTGAATGAATGTCTCAGAGCATGCATTTCTAGCCGCCGCCCCAGGGGATCATTCCGCAAGTTGAAGTTGAAGACCTTACCTTTTGAAAGCTGGATAAAGTTGGGGGAATCTGCCAACCTTACTGAGGGACCTTTTCTTCCCCACTTACTGGAAATGCAAATACTTATTGGAGAAGAGGGGAAAAAAAGCGATGTTATAGGAAAACACCTAATTTAATCAAACAGCCATTTAACAAGAGCCTGGAGGTATCAAGACCTGGGGCAGGACAAAGGTGGGTGCTAAAGCGTACAGGACTCCTCTCCACAGCTTCAAGGACAAACCTTCACTAAGGGAACTCATTGGCCCTAGTCATGGCTCAAGGTTAGCAGCACAAGCTGTGTTGGAGACCAATGTCCCTCTATGTTCCAAGCCCTTGAAATAACCAAATTCAATAAAGAAACCACCACCCCATAACCTGGCTTTGGTTTTGCTTTTTGTTATGCATAGTACTGTGTGTGTGTGTGTGTGTGTGTGTGTGTGTGTGTGTGTGTGTGTGTGTGCGCGCGCGCGTGTGTGTGTGTGTGTGTGTGTGTGTGTGACTGGATTAAAATTCTATGGGCATCCATCCAGAAAAACCATGACAGGTTTCTGAGGGCACAGTGGAGGACGAAAGCCCTGGGATAGAAATTTCAGAAAAACAGCTGCTGCTCCCAGAAAAACTAAAGCTGTGTGTCCACTGGCAAAGAAAGGAAGGAGCTCAGTCAATTATTTGGATAATCTGAGACAAGCCTGTACTACACAACATGTTTGGACACAGGGCTGCTCTAGGTAAAAGTGTTTTATTCCCTTGGCTACATTTGCCTCCCTCCCCAGTACCCTTCCTGCCCCCATATCACTATGTGCAGGTGCACACAGACCCAGAATAGAACTGTAGAGCTGGAAGGTTTTATAGAGACCATCTATTCTATAACCTTCATTTGACTTGTCAGATGAGGAAAATGAGCCTAGAAAGACAAAGCAACTTGTTAAGGATTAAACAACTAGTTAGTGGGGGATTCTGTGCTACAATCTTGGTCTCCTGACTTAAAGCTACATCCCCACCATCACCCAGTCTTCCCAGAACCTGAACAAGATGAATTCTCTCTTGGGGATTGGGTAAAATTACACCATAGAAATTAACTTAATCACAATCAAGAGTGTTAGGGGTGTTTTTCATATTCCCTGCCTGTGCCCTGTCACTGCAACAGAAATCTGGATCAGAGATAGTACACGATGCTTTCCTTTTCCATCATCATTTTTATTTCAGAAAGATGTAGGAGGGGAAAACATGCCAGCAGAAAATTTGAGATCCTCTTAGATTATGAATGGTTTGGGGACAGCATAACTTAATTACCTGAGACATCATTTTGAAAAGAACTGCATCAGAAAAGATGATACAACCAGAAATTAAGTTTCTGTAACAATGAATCAGGATACCTTTTAATAATGACTAACTAAAAACAAGAATATCTAACCTTTATATAAAGATTTTCAACCCAATCAAGTTGCATATATTGATGGGTTCAATCTCATCTAATTGTTGTTATCTCCATTTTATAGGAGGTAGTCTGGGCACTAGAGAAGCAAGTGAATTAGAACTGATACTGAATATTCAAG